GAGCAATGGGCCTATTGGAAGATGAGTGGACATTATATCCTATTCTCTCATCAAGCCCATTAAGCCAAACCCAGATTTCAAGTATATCATTTTATACTTGTGGATCCACGGCATTTCAGAACATGACCAGTCGAGTACTGCTATCTTAAGTTTCTGGCCTCTTCATTTGAGGAGTCCGAGAATGATGGTCTGGGATCTAATCCTCATCTTGCTTAGTTTTTCATTTTGGGCTTAGGCCATCTTTTATACCAAAAAATAAAAAAAGAAAGAAATACAGCTTAGATTTCTACGATTATTCTCATACACACAAACATAAGCGTCAACTCCTTAAAAGTTACAAGCAAAATCAAATCTGTCACCTTTTACTTGCATGAAAACTTTCATACCATTATGCTATAGGGAGTACTGGCTATTTGTATTTATGTAGTGAGTAGGTGAACATTAAAGCTTTAATAACAACTTGTTCTTGACAACGAAAACAGCTCGATCATTGCAAGTTGACACATCCATCCTCCCACAATATACAAACATGTGGTGTTCATTATGTTATATTGAGCCTTAATTAGCTTACTCCAAACTTGTTTTCTAGTTTAAGATATACTTAAGAGGTGTTTGAAATACAGCACTTAAAAAAAAAAATATTTTCACATAAATCGAGATAATATTTTTTTTAATATTTATTTCGAACATCTTAAAATCACTTTTGAAAAACTAATCCAAACATTCTCTTTCTACCTATTTAAAACACCCTAGAGATTCATAAGCATCATTGTTGTGCGCCAAGTTGAGCTATGTCTTCCACAAACTCATCCAACTCTTGCCATGACTTTCTCTCCTGATTTACACTTCTATGAGCTTCATCTTTAAGTGCTTTAGGTCTTGCTTTTTCAGCACTATCTCCACTCATTGATCTTGCTACTATCCGACCCAAATCTTCCAGGTCGGGTACTAAATCCGCTCCCTCACACTCTCACGGCAACGCCCTTATCCTCCACCAATAGCTTGGCGTTGATGAACTGGTCAGCTTCCATAGGCCACCCCAGAATCATAACTCCTGCCACTATGGCTTCTAATACCATGTTCCAACCACAGTGACTCAGAAACCCGCCGACCGCTCTGTGACTCAGTATTGCTACTTGGGGTGCCCAACCCTTTATCACGAAGCCCCGATCTTTTACCCGATCCTCAAATCCCTCTGGGACTAACCCGGATCCTTCCTCCGTTTGTTGGGTCGTGCCGGGTTTAACAACCCATACGAATCGGGTCTCTGATACTTCCAACCCGAATGCCAGAGCCTCCATTTGTTCTCTCTTGAGTCTTGAGCACCTTTTGACTCCCGAAGCACACGTACATCACGGAATCGTCAAGGCTGCCGTCGAGCCAGCTGAGTACGTGGGAGTTCGTCTCACTATTGGGGTTGTCCCGACCTCCGCCATTATAGGTTCCGAGGAGGCTCAAGGGGCCCATCGCGAAAACCCATCGGTGGCCCAATGTCGTTCTTAAATAATCCAAATAGGGACCTTCCAGATCTTGGAAGCTATTGAAAACGCAACCCCAACTCACCGGATTCGCCAAGTAACCCTCCTTTATGATCTCGGAGCCAGGATCCGATTCCTTGTATTTCAGAACAGTAGTAGAAAGATGCTCCTTTTTAAAAGACGATGCTCTGGGGATCTTGGAGAACTCAACCACCCTCTGATCTCTAATGCTGTCAATATTCTGCCAACAGATGTTGTTAATGGAGGCGAAGAGCGCCCCAGAAGAGTAGAAAACAATCCTCGGAATGCCCAGATGGCGGGAAATGCTGAGGGTCCAGCCGAGGAAGAAGTCGGAGATGATGGCCACGGGAGGTGAAGGGTGCGAGTTGAACCACTGGATAATTGGGTCCTGAAGCTTGGAGAGAGCATTGATCATGGTGTAATTTCCGGCAGTGCCAAGCTCCCTGACGTTTTCGACGCCAGGAGGGATTTTGGGGTGTGAAGGGAAGGGAAGGATAAGGGTATGAACGGCGACGGGGTGGGCACGGAGGAGAGACTGGAGGAGGGAGAGGTTTTTGGGAGTGACGATGAGGGTGATGGATAAACCTCGAAGAGCAAGCCGGTGGTTGAAATGGAGGAGCGGCAGGATGTGGCCTTGTGCTGGGGAAGGAAATATGAGAATGTGAGTTTTAGACATGGCTTCTAAAGGCCGGCGATGGGAGAAATATTGACGGAGCCGGCGGAAAATGCAGAGTTGAAGGCAGAACTGAGCTGAAGAACTAGGAATAGGAATGAGAATTAAAAGCTTGATTGGACGTCACTTAGCTAGAGAATCTATTTCCATCACTGATTGTGCTGTACAAAGCACTCAAATTTTAAAAAACAAATTAAGGGCTGATGAGAATTTGAGATATATGAGTAGGAATAGGTAGAAGTATAGAACTTGATACTGTCGTGGTAGCTAGAACGTTAGTTCCTTTCTTTGTAGAGGGGAAAGTAATCTGCCACTCCTTATAGTTTTATTTAGTTTTTAATTAGCTCCCTCTAAATTTTTTATTTTTTATTAGATCCTTAAACTTATTTTTGTTACAAGAACTAATCCCTTTGTCTAAAAGCCGTTAAAACACACAAGACGCCTTGTAACGGCCATTGAAGTGTGAGGCCATGACGGCGACCATATCCGATGAATGTTCGTAGCAATCTTCCGATGGTCCCCATTGCTTTAGCCTCCAGCACTTGGGGTTTTGATGTGACTATCATTTCTGCTTTAAGTGATTTTAGTATGAAACAAATTAAAATTTCTCCTTTCCGCCATTGCCGTTAGGGTTTCCAGCTCTCTGGATATATCATTATCCTTATCATTGTCAAAGTCACCGGAGCTATCATTAGGATCATTCTCCAGCTTGACAAGAGAGAGGCCTTTCTCCATCTAATCCATCCTACCCAAGTGGAGTTGAACCAAACAACAGACAAGTTACGCACACATGGATGTTGATGCAGTATCACTTCCAAAGCTTCTCCCATCTTATGACTGCATTGAATGGCGATTTCGGGTGACAATGCCCAAAATATGCTCAAAGCCATCTCAATACTCGAAAAAGCATTTTGCTGTTTACGTTTCTATGCTTTGGAGATAATGATTGTCATGCTCTGAAAATTCTTCTCAAAAACCAGAAGATAGGGTGGCTTTGGAAGTGTTGATGGGGATCGAATAAGTATATAATATTCATATATCTTGCATCTTTCATTCTGATTTCTACAACTAAGTCGTATTCAATGATTAAACATTCATATATATATATATATATATATGAATTGTACATGATTTTAGATAGCAGTGAAGCAACGGAAGACGACGACCAGAGCGACAGTAATGGAATTTACAGTGGAAGTGGAAGTACTTGGAAGGGTAAGGCAAAAGAATCCATTAGGTCTGAGAGGATTATATATGCAGGAGGAGAACAAAAACTTCATTGTTTACAATTTCAGACTAACTCATACCTTGCCCACGCGCTTACGGAGGGGAAAGACCCATTGGCTGCAAGAGTTCTTTTGGGTCAAAGGATAATACTTGTCCAATCCTTCTTTAACACCTGGATGCTATTCAGCCAACTCATCATGTCTTAACGTTGTTTGTGGCCATCTTTTAACAGCTCTTGACGGAAGGATTAACACTTATAACAGAGATAACTTTAAGGATCTAATAAAAACTAAAAAATTTAGAGGGACCTGATTAAAAACTGAATGAAAATATAAGGACCTGCAGATTACTTTTCCCTTCTTTGTATTTGAATTTGGTATAAGATTCAGCTACGCTACTCCGCCTTTCTTCTTCTTTACCCCTTTCATTACTATTAAATTAAATTTTATTATTTCAGATTTAACACATTATAAAAATATTATTATAATATTATTTTAAAAGTACACAGATCAATTTATATTACTGAAATCTGATCTACATAGTTGATAGTTATAGTAAAAAAAAAAAACAAGGTAAAAAAAATCTGCCTTAAAATAATAATAATAATATAATAATATGAACTTACTACATGATCTATGACATCCCCAGCCCTCAGCAGATCCACCACTCCTTTGGCCTTTCTCTAGCTCACTGGCCATTCAAGTTTCCGAGCATGTACGCGCCACACTGCCATTTACGCTCCTCAAGTCAGCAGTCTCTTGCGTATATCTGGTTCCCCCAAACCAAACCACCCCCCCCCCCCAAAAAAAAAAAAAACTTCTCCCAGCCTAATCCCAAAAAAGGACAAAATATAAACAAACAAAACAAAGCTAAACAGAAAGCCTCACCAGCATAATGATGTCGCATTTCTATGAGAAGATAAGACGCAATGCTCATCTCACCCACAAAATAACTTACTTATTCATGCTCGTGATCCGGTGCCTTAAAATACTTTCTTAAGTGGGTCCAACATACTAGGATTCATAGTATTTTTTTTTTCTTAAATGCACTCAGCGTCATCTTACAATATATTGTAATTCTATTTTGCTCTAAAATATTTCTTAAGAGTGATTGTAACTTCATTGTTGGGCCCCCCAAAAAGTTCATTATCCCAGCTTTTTAGTACTTCTACAAAGCATTTAAGATGACTATTGGAAAGAATTCAAAATGATTATTAAAAAGTGTTAGAGATGGGTATTAACAAATAACAATATTTTATCCGTTATTTATTATAAGATTTAATTTTTTAAATAATTTTATCTCTTTTTATAAGATCCTCTTTGAGTTTGTCTGAATATTTAATATAGTATTACCTATTTCACCCCTAATTTAATGTATTTAATACATTTTCTTTTTTCATTTATCTCATTACTATTCTCTCATATTTATTCATTTATATATAGGGATATATTGAAAAACAAAACTACATTTGCTACTTATTAATTGTTTTTAATTAATTTTAACTGTTTTTTTAAGTCACGTAATTTAATTAAAAAGATCTTATAATAAGAGATGGAGTAAAACAAAAGATGAGTACTGAAAATATGAAGCAAACAAAATACTTGAGAATGCAAAAATATTTTAATATTTTTAGGACACTTCAAATTTCAAAAATACTTCTAGATACTAATCTAACCGAACCACATTTATGTTTCAAATGCATTGAGTAGGTAATCATTATCGTGCATTGAGCTGAGTTAATGCTTCCACTAACTGGTCCAACTCCTTCCCCGACCTCCCCTCCTCACTTACGCTCCTGTGAGCTTTCTCCCTCAGTGCTTTTGCTTTTGTCCTTTCTTTTTCAGCACTATCTGCACCCATGGATCTTGCTACTATCCGACCCAATTCCCCCGGGTCGGGTACTGAGTCCGCTCCTTCGCACACTCTTACCGCCACGCCCTTGTCATCCACCATCAGCTTGGCGTTCACGAACTGGTCAGCCTCCATAGGCCACCCCAGAATCATGACTCCGGCTACTATGGCCTCCGACAGCGAGTTCCACCCACAGTGACTCAGAAACCCGCCGACGGCTCTGTGATTCAGTATAGCCACTTGGGGCACCCAACTTCCTATCACGAAGCCCCGCCCTGAGACCCGATCCTCAAACCCCTCTGGCACAACGCCGTACCCTTCTTCCACTTGTTGTGGCGTGCCGGATTTTACCACCCATATGAATCGGGTATTGGATCGTTCCAACCCGGCTGCTAAGGCTGCCATTTGTTCTCGTTTCAGAAACTTTTGACTCCCGAAGCACACATACAACACAGACCCATCCGGGCAGCCGTCGAGCCAGTTGAACAAATCGGAATGTTCATCTGGGTACTGGTTAGCTTGATCGCCGCCGCTGTCGGGTCCAATCAAGCTCAATGGACCTACCACAAAGACCCGAGGGTGCTTCAATGTTGTTCTCAAATATTCCAAATACTCACCCTCAAGATCTCGGAAGCTGTTGAAAATACAACCCCAGCTCACGATATTCTCAAGAGAACTCTCCTTGACGAACTCTGAATCAGGATCGGATTCCCTGTAATTTCGAACTATAGAAGGAAGATGCTCCTCCTTAAACGACGGCGCTCCGGGAAAATCCGAGAACTCTATTACTCTCTGACCCCGTACAGCCTGCGTGTTTCGCCAGCAAAAGTTGATAATTAAGGCCAACAGAGCACTCCCTGGGTAAAACGCAATTCTGGGAATTCCCAAATGAACGGAAAGTTTGAGAGTCCAGCCGAGGAAGAAGTCAGATATAATGGCCACCGGCGGTGAAGGGTGGGACCTGAACCACTGGATAATTGGGTCTTGAAGCTTGGAGAGAGCGTTGATCATGGAGTAATTTCCGGCATTCCCAAGCTCCCTGACGTTTTCGACGCCAGGAGGGATTTTGGGGTGTGAAGGGAAGGGAAGGATAAGAGTGTGAACGGCGACGGGGTGAAGACGAAGGAGAGGGTGGAGGAGGGAGAGGTTTTTAGGGGTGACGATGAGGGTGATGGATAAACCTCGAAGAGCAAGCTGGTGGCTGAGATCGAGGAGGGCGAGGATGTGGCCTTGTGCTGGGTAGGGGAATATGAGTACGTGAGGTTTCGACATGGGTGCCCAAGCTGACGATCGGAGATATCTCGGCCGAGCAGTCGGAGGAGGATGCAGAGGTGAAAGCGGGAGGCAGACGCTTGGCTGTTGACCAAAAGGAAGATGAGTAAAAGACTCAATTATTCACTTGCTGTATTTTTCATCAGTCGATGTCTATCCAATAAAGCTTTGATTCTGGGGTGCTCTTTGTCCGTCTTGATTGGGCTTTGACCAATCACTCGATTCTTTTCCTAGCAATTTAAGGGCTAATGAGAATTTGGGAAAAATTAATTAATACCTCAGTTTCTTTCTTTGCATTTTATTCTTAATATGACAATTATTTTGCTAATTTGAGTGAATTTGAAAAATTTGTTAAAATAGTTATTTATAATAAATAAGTATTACCTCTGATATTAAATATAAGACTTAATTGAGTAATTTGACTAGGTTAAGAAAATAAGTTAAGTTAGTTATTTATAATAAATATGTATTGTCTTTCTTAAAACATCCTTACTAATCAAGTTTATGGATTAGAGTTATTATTATTAGAAGGACTACTCTAAAAAAATAAATAAATTTAAGAGACAAAATAGATAAATGTCTTATATTTATTATTAAAATAAAAATCAAATGAGATCTTATATTAAAGATTAAACGTATATTGTCCTTCTTAAAATATTTTACTATTCACATTTGAATTAATTAGAATTATTATTTGATAGAATATTAACAAATATGATTATTATAAAAACTATTTTTTTTAAAAAAAGTAAAATACAAGGCGGATTGAAGTGTCATGATATTCATATCGCCAGTAAAATCGGAAGACGGAAGGAAGATGCTCCTAAAACGACGACGTTTGGTCAGTTTTGAACGTGGCTACACGACAGCCGCACATGAAGATAAGATTGGCACGCATCTTTTTTTGCTTTTGTTTCTGTACTAATATAGCCCCGTCAAGCGTAAACCAGTCAACGTCAACATTTTTCTCGTTGGCGAGCAATGGCATATTCTATATTTTTTTCAACCCGTTTAAAATATTTTATAAGTAATTTTTTGAGTATAATTTATGAAATATAAGATAAATAAGTAAGAAGAATTTTATCTCCTATAAACTTCCTTATAAATACTTATATAAGTTATGTCAAACAAACATTTATATAATTGTTTAAAATTTAGTTAGATCAACGCGTATCAATGATTTATATAATCAATTCTCAATTATATTTTCATTTGAAAATTACCTTTTTCGGTGTACATGTATACGACTTATGAGTTTAAAAAAAAAAACACTAACAATAACAACAATATTTGCATGGGATAATTTTCTTCATAAAAAAACGATATAATGCCCGCAGGTCAGTGTCGGTGAGCATAAAGAACAACGTAAATTCATTCTAAAATATTAAAGGGATTTATAAAATCAAAATTATATTATTCATTAATAATAGAAATATTCAACGTCGTTTCTTTCAAAACATATTTTTATTATTTTTTCCTATATTAATCAAATTTCGAGCCTACTTGATTCGAGTGACATCTAATTGAGTCAGTGATTCCACAAGGTCATCAAATTCTTTCGACGACCTTCCTTCGCTGCTCACACATTTTTGGGCTTCACGTCGGAGTTGCTTTGCTCTTTCCTTTTCCGGCCTATCCACACCTATTGACATCCTTATAACCTGACCCAAGTTATCCGGGTCGGGCACCGAGTCCGCTCCCTCACATACTCTCACTGCAACGCCCTTATCCTCCACCAATAGCTTTGCATTCACGAACTGGTCGGCATCCATAGGCCACCCCAGAATCATAACTCCTGCCACTATTGCCTCCAATACCGAGTTCCATCCACAATGACTCAGAAACCCGGCAACCGCTCTGTGACTCAGTATTGCCACCTGGGGCGCCCAACCTTTTATCACGAAGCCCCGGCCCTTTACTCGATCCTCGAACCCGTCTGGCACCACGCCGTGTCCTTCCTCCATTTGTTGGGTCGTTCCGGGTTTCACGACCCATATAAATCGGGCCTCCGATCTTTCCAACCCGGATGCCAGAGCCTCCATTTGTTCTCTCTTGAGCAACTTCTGACTCCCGAAGCACACGTACAACACAGAACCATCAGGGCAGCCATTGAGCCAGTTGAGTACATCAGAGTTGGCCTCATTATTCGGGTTGCCCCGACCTGCGCCATTGTCAGGTCCGAGCAAGCTCAACGGCCCCACTGCGAAAACCCGTCGGTGCCCCAGCGTCTTCCTTAAATAATCCAAATACGGGCCTTCGAGATCATGGAAGCTATTGAAGACGCAACCCCAACTCGCCATATTTGATAAGTAACCCTCCTTTACGATCTCCCAATCAGGTTCCGATTCCTTGTATTTCAGAAACATGGCAGGAAGATGTTCATGCTTAAACAACGGTGCCCCGGGGATATCAGAGAACTCCACCACCCTCCGATCTCTAATGTCTTCGATATTCTTCCAACAGATGTTAGTAATGGAGGTCAAGAGCGCACCAGAAGAGTAGAAAGCAATCCTCGGAATTCCCAGATGGCGGGAAATCCTGAGGGTCCAGCCGAGGAAGAAGTCGGAGATGATGGCCACAGGTGGTGAAGGGTGGGACTTGAACCACTGGATGATCGGGTCTTGAAGCTTGGAGAGAGCAGCGACGACGGGTGAGTTTCCCAGTTGGCCGAGATCTTGGACGTTTTCGACGCCGCGAGGGAGAGTGGGGTGAGAAGGGAAAGGAAGAAGAAGGGTCTGAATGGTGGTGGGGTGGGTGGAGAGAAGAGGGTGGAGGGTAGGGAGGTTCTTGGGGGTGACGATGATGGTGATAGGGAAGGCTCTGAGAGCTAGCTGGTGGGTGAAGTCGAGAAGAGGAAGAAGATGACCTTGGGCAGGGTATGGAAAAACCAGGATGTGAGGCTTGGCCATGGCTGCTTGGCACGCAGACCAAATAGAGAAACAGGGAAGCCTCAAGCGCAGAAAGAAAGAAGACCACGAAGAAAAACTGAGTGATGGTGTGATAACGTGTGATAGTGAATCTTTAGGTCCCAAAACAATTAATTGCAATTAAAATTTGCAACTACTTCTCTATAATTTATTACTAAAAATTATTCTAAAACCTAATTATTATTAAATTGTTTTTTGAGCATATATCACTTGTTTCGTGCACTTATAACCCATATATTTGTTGGGGCAAATTTATGTAATCCATATATTACAGTTAACTATTCTAAAATTTATTATACCCTGTATTTATATTATATTTAACTAAATTTAAAAAGTATTCTTTTTCAGTGTAATCTTTTGATTTTTGGTTTGGTCAGTAATAAAATATTAGTTTGATTTAACTCTCAACATAATAACGAATGTCATTAAAAAGCGAGATTGAACATAATCTCTTAAATTAAAAAATGTAAATTTTTTTTTAGACAAAATAATCAAAAGCGTGTAAGCGAAAGCATTTGAATTGAAGGGAAGCGAAGGGAAGGTCATGGGCGGATTCTTTTAGACGTCGGTCATGAAAATGGATGCACCTAATTATTGGACCCCAATACTGTTGAATAATAAGTAATTATGAAGATTAATACATAAGTATTTATAATTTTATTTATTTTTAATTATTTTTATTGATTTTTATTTTTATTAGTTTTTTTTAATCACACATAAGACGATCTGAAAGTGTAAGAACCTAATTAAAATTCAGATAAAATTATAAGACTCTACAGAATAATTTATCAAAAAATGGAAAAAAAATTGCCCGAAATAATATGGGTGATGGTTAGAGCTTCGCGTCACCAAAATAATTACGAACCACAAAAGCTACCTTGAGAAACTAGAAGTCCAACTCCCGATGGACCAGAGCATTTAATGACTATTGGGATACTTTGGAAAACTAACTCCTAACTTTAATTATTTCCTTCTCATCATTTTTTTTTATCTTTTTTCTTATTTATTATAAGAATATGATTAAAAAATATAAATATATTTTTAATTTATTTATTATTTTAACTAATTTTATTGATTAGTTATTATTCATAAATTAGTTATTTGAAACTTATAAGAAGAATCAGAGTTGGGTAACATTTCATGCATAATTTTAATTTCTTCCTCTATGAGTATATTCTTCTTGTTCTTAACATAGGATTTAATTATTAGGTAAAATTTCATGCATAATTTTAATTTCTTCCTCTGAGTATATTCCTCCTGTCCTTAACATATGATTTAATTATTAAATTGATTTTTTTTGCTAAAACATAAGTATCCTCTTATTGGAGGTAATCTTAATTGAGGCACTGTCATGTACTAAATGTGAGTACTTCTCCTAACAGGGATTCGAACATTAGTTAGCCATGTTGTGAAGAACTAGCCTCTTCCGCCAAACTCAACCGCCTGTTGGTAGTTGCTAAATTGATTTTTGTACTAAATGGAAAACTTATTTCTCATAATTATCAATATTTTCTAAATCATCTATATTGATACTCCTTCAATTATAATCAAACAGGTAATATAAAGAAAGATATTAAAGAAGATGATTATAACGTTTTAAGAATATTGAAATATTTTTTGGTGCATTGAAAATCTTAAAGTATTTTTTTAGATGCGTTTAGCATATTAAAATATTTTTTTAGTACATTCATCATGAAAACAACAACAAAAAACTTCAAAATACTAGACGTACCTAGAAAATACTTATATAGTGTTGCATGAATTACAAAATACTTTAAAATATTGGATGTACCTAAGAAAATATTTCAGGGTATTGAATATACTTTAAACCTATTTTAAAATCCTAAAAATACAAAATATTTATTTAAAGGGTACTTATCTTGTAATTCGAAATATTCGATTAAAATATTTTTGAAGATTTTGTCTATATATACAAACTTTAAATATTATAAAATTATTTATGTGTTTTTTAGTCCTAAAAAATAATCATAAGAGAAGAAGAACTATTTGGGAGGGGTAAGAAAATTAAGTTTTTTTTAATTATTCATTTAACAATATTAAAAAAAATTTCAATGAGACCTCATGTTCTGATGAGGAATTTGTTAAAAGTGTAGGCTGAATTTGGATTTTGATATTTTAATTAGATTTAATTGGGATTCTTCCTATTTTCCTATTTAACGTATGTGGAGAATTTGATAAAATGAATATAAGGAGTTTGATGTGAGTTGTTTTTCCTTTTTTGTATATATACAAGTGTAAGTGACTTTTTTTATTCATACATACTGTTACATGTGACATGGAGTTTTTTCGTTTCGCTTCTAAAAAAAGGCTATAAGCCTATAACAATA